GAGCACATGCTGTTGGAAAAATGGTGCCAATAGATAGACTTGCTCGATGCCGGGTTGCCACCAACCTTCAAATTGTAAAAAATGCAATATCTGCAAAGTGCAATAAAACAAGGTATGCTTATAAGAATAATAATAACAATAATAATGGGTAATATTGATACATTATTTATTATGTACCAGGTACTGGGCTAAGCACTTTATAATTATTTCATTTGATTCTCACAACATTGATTCTCTGGAAGGTAGGCACTATTATTTTCCCCATTTTACAGATGAGGAAACTGAGGCAAACAGAGATTAAATGATTTGTCCAGAATCACATAGTAGGAAGTTAATAAATGCTTGGATTGAATTATGAGAAGTAGAAGGGATCTTGAAGGTCAGCTAGTCCATCATCTCATTATGTAAATGAGGAAATTTAGGGTCAGAAATATAGAAAATTAGAGGCAAAGCCCAGTCTAGAACTTGGGTTCCTGAACCCCTGGTCCACTAATTTGTTCTAATCCATAGACTGCAGCATTTACACGAAAAGGGAAAACTCTATATTTTTAAATTATCCTGAATTTTTATAACCAATATTATCAATAAGTTAGCACTACAGGCTAAGTGAACCATATGGAGCTCCTCTACCACTGCCACCAACCTATATATTTAATGAATTCATTGAAGCTGTTGGGTACAAAGAGAAATGGCTTCCAACAAGAGACTGAGACTAAATAAAATGTCTTTGTGAGGGCCTTTAAAAAAGAGATTCTTATAGTCATTTAACTGATTTATCGAGATACTGATATGATGATAATCCCTGGCCTCATTATTTATCTGGAAGCTTTCAGTGAAGGCAAAAGAATCTTGTAATAGAAATAAAAAAACAAAAACAAAAACAAAGATGTCTTTGGACAGATGGCTACAGAGACCAGGAAGGAGAAGGAAGGAGGAAAACAAAGCTGCCATGTTGTCGTCTATTCTGAATTCCATTTGCTAAGCAATGAGGAAAGCATCACTTGCCAATAGTAATGAGTAGCAGAGAAAGACCAGGTTTACTTGAAAAAAAGAAAACAAAATTTTAATGAATCCTAAGTTCATGGGGACAGCTAATGCACTATGCTAAATGAATATAACCATGTGAATATGATGTTTTCTTATTTTTCTATAAACAGAAAAAATTCTGTTTAGTCTCATAGTAGTTCAGTGAAGCAAGAGGACCGGGTACGCTTGCTCTCCTTTGATGGATGAAGGGAAGAAGCAGAGATGATGAGCAAATGAGGAGCTGCTGTATATTGCAAGGAGGACTGGCTATAGACTCATGGAAATTCAAATCCTACCTTTGATGCTATCTGGTTAGCCATGAGTACTTCACTTTAACCTCCCTAGACTCAGTTTCCCCATAAGTAAAATGAAGGGGTTGCCCTAGATGGCCTCTAGGTTTATGATCCTATGAACTGGTTTGCTCATGCTCGCTAATCTGCTCCTAGACTTGAACCCGATTTTCATATTCCTAACCCAGTAACTTTATTCCTTCTGGGCCAGTATCCCTCTGTTGCATGTGATTATAGGAATAGGTAGTCAGAACAAGTTGGGTATAATTAATCATGCTATTTAATTTACTGGTGTCTACAGAACAGATCAAAATGTAATATTCTACTCCAGCAATAATAAACACATTCTAATGCCACGAAGCCAGGCCAACATGAAAGTCCCAAGCTTATTTTCTGACTCCCTTCATTTTTATTATCAGAGTAGAGGACAGTTTATGGGTTACAGAGCCAAATTTCAGATTCCCCAGCTGAGGCAATGGGTAATGCAGGGACAGGAAAAAAGGGGGGGGGGGGTGGAGAAGACATAATTAATACCAGGCTTGCTTCTAACCTCTTTCTTTTATACTCATTATTTGATATGTTTCAAACCAACAAAGCAATAAGTTTCCTATGTTTCAGCAAATATAGAAATGTATACAGCAACCATGTTAGCGAAATACACATGTAAAAATGCCTGCAAATTAAGCATTCTTTTTTTTAATCTGCTTTGTCCTACTCCCCACCTGTACAGTTACTTCTTGCTTAAATCACAGAACTGAAGATCAGATCTTCCTAACACTGGCTGTGTGACTTAGTATCTGAAGTTTTCCATTCATAAAAGGAACAGTTTAACACTGTCTCCTAACGATATCATAGGAACACTGTGAGCATAACCAAAATGTCAGTCAATTTTGCACTTCTTGAATAATTTTGCATCTTATAGCCCACATTTTGTCTACCTGACAAAAACAAACAAGCAAACAAAAACCCTAAAAAAAATCCCACTTCTTTGGGGCATTACTTGTTATATACTTTCTCTTTCTCTGTAGTTTAAAAGCAATATTGATATATAAGCTCCTTGAGGGCAGGGAGAGTTTAATTTTTGTCTTCGTGTGCCCGTTGTCCAGCACAGTGCCTGGCACATAGGGGCTTAATAAATGCTTGTTGAATTCAATTGAATTGAATTATTAGGTATATGGTTGGCATTTAATCAAAAAAATTCTTTGAATTCATAGAATCAAATTGAATCTTTAAATTCTTTTGAAGCTCAAAGTCACTATAAAGTATTATTATTTCTGAAATTAAAATGAAAATTCTCCCTTGGAAGACTAGCATATATACTACCTGACCAACTGTTAACATGAGAATTAGTTATATCCACTACACACTTTACAACCATGATTTAATGTTGTGATAGTGTCATTTTCTAGTGAAGATAGAAAATCACTTACCCAGTCAGTCAGTCACTCACTCAAATATTTATTAAGCACCTACTATATAGTGCTTATGCTAAATACTATGCTAAGTTCTGGGAATACAAAGAAAGATAAATGTCAGTCCCTATCCTGAAGGGGTCCACAATCCAATGGAGGAGACAATATCCAAATAACTATATATAAGCAAGTTATATACAAAATAAGTTGGAAATAATCAACAGAGGAAAGACATTAGACCTAAGAGGGATGGGGAAAGACTTCCTATAGAAGGTGGGATTTTTAGCTGGGACTTAAAGGAAACAGGAAAACTGGGAGGAGGAAGGAAGAGTATTTTTTGTCCAGTGATGCTAGTGAAAATGTCCAGATAAGGATGGAATATCTTATTCAAGGAACAGTAAGGAGGTCAGTGTCACTGGATTGCAGGGTATGTGGTGGGGTGTAGTTTAAGAAAACTGTAAAGGTAGGAGTTGTTGCAAAAAATGTCAAATCACATGTGTTTCAATGAGGGTCAAATTAACACATGAGAAATGTGATTTTCAAAACCTGTTTAGGGTACTTATGTGCTTTGCTGAGGATATCCCAGATGAGCACCCAAACACAAGGTTCTATTGAGAGGTGTCAAAAAAAAAACATGTAGGAATCACAAAGGAATTTCAGCTACTTTCCAAAATAACTATTGAACTACAGTTGCACAGGAGACTGATATTTTAGGCTTAGTTTTTTGAAAGCAGTGAACACATGGTACTTATCCTAGTATCTCTTCTGACACCTAATACATTGCCTTGGCAATTATGGTTTGCAAATCCCATTCTAATAACTCATCACGACACTAAATCAACCTAGATTCTCAAAGGTTAGAGTAAAAGCTCTCCCAACTTGCAAAGACTTCCAGTATGGACTTGGAAATGGGCTATAAGATTGATTTCAAAGGATTAACTTAGCTAAGTTGAGGGGCTGACACTCCTTTCCAGAAAGCTGTCCATCAAACAACAGAATGTTTGCCTCCGGATTCTGTGTTTGAATGAATGCCTGCAGTGACAAATACTACTCTCTGATTTGACTCCCACTTTGCTCTCAGCAGAGTAAAGCTAAAATTTAAGTCATACATACTCCTCTCTAGAGTGAATTCTTGTTGCAGGATAATTATGTAGATAGAGCTGGAGGGTCAGATAAGCTCCTATAACTCTCATGAAATCAAGAATGAATTCATCTAATAAAGCTTAGAGGAGTTTTGAAAGGAATCAAAGGATTGAATCTTTTGAAGAATTTGAAAATGTTTGTTGTTGAATGTAATGACTGAACGGGCATTTTCTCAAGAAGAGGATTGAATGTTTTGAAGAATTTGAAAATGTCTGTTGTTGAATGTAATGACTGAATGGGCATTTTCTCAAGAAAAGTCTTCTTTCCACAAGCATCCCTTGTAGCAGCCAGTTGGTTCACGGTACAGAAAGGTGAAGCAGGAGAACCTAGTCATTGTATGGACCTCGGAGGGAGGATTCTGATGTTGCCCATATGGCTTATGGCTGGAGCCTGAGGTTGCTCTTCCCCAAGCAGAAACTGGAATACGGAGGTCTTGCTCTGGACATGAAGCTAGTTAGCAATGTGAATAACGCTTTCTCGTCATCAATTTCCCTATTGCACACTGCTTGAAAGGACAAGAAAATTAAGAGGGCAAATTTAATAGGAGTAATTTTTATTTGCTTGTTTCTACAACCATATTCACTAACTTTTGAATAAAATCTATATTTAAGCTGATTAAGTATTGGTATTTCTTCACTTATCTAATACTTTAAAATATCCTTTTCTCCCTCTTCACCTCCTTTTCTCTCTCCATGTCTCACATGAATATGGGTTTTCTGAAATTAAACAACTAAGTAGAAGCTGCTCTTGGTAAATCTACTGATATTACAATAATCAAGAGATTGACTCTGTCCTAACTGGGTCAGAAAATGATGACTTAGAAGCTAGTAACTGATTACTCTTTTTAAAGGCAGTTCTTAATAAAGAAATTGCCTTCTGGGTTGACTAAATACCTGGTGTGTAATAGACATTTATTTGTGTCCCGCAAATAAAATTTACCACCAAGACAGGATTAGAAAATCATCTCTCTAGGCCGGTTTTGATGCAATGTGACCTAACAAACAAGAGATGAGACCAGATAACCTTGTGAAGTATGAATGAATAAGTTCCTTCAATGGTAAATACAGCTCTTTGTCATGACTCCCACTTTGCCCCAGAAGACCAAGGCCAAAATTTAAGATATACATACTTCTCCCAATGGTGATTTCCTGCTGCAAGACGCTTATGTACAGCTGAAGGGTCAGCTGAGGTGCTGAGCCCAAAAAAGCCTGGATCACCGATGCCCTGCTGAACGCTGACCTGTGCGTGAACAACTTGCCTTCTGCCCTGCCCACTTCTTTCTCAATTTCTTCTGTGAGTCCATTTTTAGGGATATGCTTCTTCTTGGTGATACTGACATAAGGCTCTTCAACTCTGCCAGCTTGAAAATATATGCAAAAGACTTCCACACACCTGGAAATGGAGTCAAGATTTTTATTAGATGACTAGAAATTCCTGTTTTTTTTTTTTTTAGACATTCTATCCACATTTCGCCTGTATCTAGTATTCCCAGATTTACCGATGTGTCACAGTACAACAAGGACTAGATTCGGAGTTATAAGACCTTTATTTCAGTCCTACTTCCACTATTTTGTGCCTTAACCTTTCTGGGTCTTAGTTTCACTACCTGTAATATGGGGATAATAATACTTGCACTCTCCATAATACATGGTTGTTGTGAGGATCAGATGAGATAATGAATATGAACATGTGAAGCAATTATGAGAAATGATACTTTGTGTTCATCATTAGTTCAAGAGTATGCTGGAGCCATCTTCAACAGGCTAGTGAAAGCTGATTGTTAAATTTTCGGTATGAGCATTTACATTTTGGAAATTGGCAAATGCTACAAATTAAGACTTGATTTATTATTTTGCTGATTATTTAGCCCTAAGAAAGTAATGGAGGAAATGTTAATAATGCAAATTAAACTTAAAGTGTGTCATATATATACTTTTTTTCAGAGAGCTCACACCCCTTCTAGAGCCCAGTCCATATACCCAACTTTACCTTTTACTTTGATGTCATCTAATCTCCCTAAAGCCAGGCAGAGCACTCAGAACTGAAAAACAAAAGGAGATGAGGAGGAGAAACTAAAAGAAAAAGGAAGGAGAAACGTAAGGAGGTTAAAGCAAGGAAAAGCAAGATTATCTATGAAAACATCTGATTGGTCCTGGCTCCAGCATTGTGGTTTGGGTCCTGATGAGTCCAGGGTCTCCTGAGGCTGGAGCAAGGTAAGGAGAATGGCAAAATGCATGACTCAAAGGAGGCCAGGAAATGGGAAAAGGGGGGAGAGATAAAGGAAGGGAAGAGCAAATTAGATGAGGAAATGCATACATGTTTCTTCCCAGCTAGACTATAAACTCCCTGAGGGCAGGGACTTATAATTCTTTGCTGGCCATGTATAATCCAATATTTTCAATTTAGTAAGTATTTATTAATCACATGCAAGACCCTGTTAAGATATGATCCTTAACTTTAAAGAACTTAAAATCTAGTAAGGAAGATAATAAAAACTCAGTGCTTTAACTGTGGCCACTTTCTTCATAACAGTCCTGTGAATGGGTGGTACAAGTGCTATTATTTTCATTATACAGATGAGGAAATTCAGGCTCAGAAAGCTTTAGTGGCTTGTTTATGGTCACAGAGTCGGTAAATGTCAGAGGCGTTATTTGAATCCTGGTCTCCTCACTCCAAGTCTACCATGCTGCAAAAGAGAATATGAAAAGCTCAAACAAAAAAGTCATAGAAGGTAATCAATTAAGTCACAGTCAGGACTGATATCACCACTACCGCCACCACCACTACTACAAATACTACAACTACTCACTCCTACTCCTACTATTGCTACTACTACTACTACTACTACCACTACTACTACTACTACTACTACTACTACTAGTGCTTGATTGTTTGCAAAATGCTTTACAAATATTTACTCATTTGATCCTCAAACCCTGGGAGGTAGCTGCTATTATCCCCAATTTTACAGACAAGGAAATAGGCAGATAGTGGTTAAATGATTTGCCCAGGATCACAAAGTCAGTAAATATATCAGACTGGATTTAAAAATCAGGTCTTCTTGACTCCAGGTCCAGTGCTCTATTCACTGTGCCACCTATCTGCCTTTGCAGAAATAAAGGAATACTTAAGTAATTAAAAAGATACTCGCTGCTTGTGATTGCTTGTAAAAATGACAATGTTACTCAAATTAGAATACAGATTCAATGCCATGTCAATCAAACTATGAAAAAGTTACATTATTGAATTAGACAAATTAATGATAATAAATTTTGGAAAAGAAAAAATTCTAGAATCTCAAGGGAAATTATGAAAAAAGGAAGAATGAAAAAAGCATTATCATTACCAGACTTCAAACTATATTATAAAATTATGATCATCAAAACTTTTTTATGCTGGTAAAAAATTTGAAAAGTAGATAAATGAAACAAAGTAGAAAAACAGGTCCCAGAAACAATAGAGCCCAGTATTCAACAAATTGATGAATCCAAACTTTAAGGAGAAGGACCCTCTATTTGACAAGAACTTCTAGGAAAAATGGAAAACAATTTGGCATAAAGTAGATTTAGGTCCACATCTTACATCACTTGCCACAAGAAGTATCACATGAATATATGTCTTAAACATAAATGGTTACATAATTAAACACACACACACACACACACACACACACCCCAAAATAGTGGAGAACAGAGGAGTACTTTTCACAATTAGGATTAGTGCTAATTCTTAAACAAATAAGGAATAAAGGCAAACACAAAGGATAATAGATTATTTTGATTACATAAAATAAAAAAGCATTTGCACAAACAAAATCAATTCATTTTAAAGTAAAAGAAATTGTTGAATAGGGAAATCAAACCTTTCATCAAATAACTCTAATAAAAGTCTGATATATATATATATTTATATATAATGTATGTATGGTACATATATTATAAGGAATTGACAATAATATATGAAACCAAGAACTATTCGCCAAAAGATAAGTAGTTAAAGGATATGAACCATTTTAAAATTAATTACAAATAATCAACAACAATATTGTACAAAATTGATCAAAATTACTAATAATTTTTTTACAAATATGGGTTTCATATGGAGTGAGAGGTATGGGGGGCATTAAATTAAGAAGTGGCTGACATAAAATACATCAAAAATGTATTTTTAAGAAGAGATCCAAGACATACAATAGGAATTAAATACTTAGTTGACTAATTGATTGATGGATGACATCAAGATCTAAGAGGGAACAGATGCAGGCAACAAACAAAATAACCACTTTCATAGGAACCGGTTTTTACTATAAAAAGTTGTAAATGATGAAGCCTATGGAAAGAATGCTGTATTTAATTCATCCTGCTTCTATCACATATTATCTATATTACCTGTGTCACCTAATCCCTCTGGACCTCCATTTTTTCATCTATAAATTAAATGGTTAGGACTACATGATCTCTGCAGTCCCTTCTACTTCTAAACCTAGGAATCTGTAACTTTGTGGTCTTTAACATATATTTGCTAGGTGAAGGGTTAAGTCATGTGAGCTTTCTCTCCTAGATTTTTCATGCAGGAATTCTAATATGAAATATCAGTTTATCCCTGCTGACAGCCACAAGCTGGTCAGCTACCTCCCTTAAGTCAGCTCCCTGTAACTCCTTGATCACAGTGGAGAAGCAGTTGTAAAATTCACCCATATATAACTTCATCCCAAATCTCTGTCACTTCCAGCTAATATTTATTATTCATTCTTAGAATTTCTATTTGAGTTTATATTGTTCCTCATCCCCATGCTACTCCTCTCCTCTAACATATTTATTCCATAATTGTAAATCATTGATCTTTGTGTATAAGAAGGCTTCTTTTTTTATTTTGCTTTTATAGATCTTCACTGTATAGTTTTCTCAAAGTTTTAAAATATTGATTAACCTATAGTCACCCTTTATATTTTCAACACATTTATATTACGTATGTAGTATATAAACATATATAAACATATTATATACAATAAATATATACATAAATTTATATATCAATATGAGAATGGTCCATAGACCATCACTCTATGTGGTATTGAACTACTTATACCACATAGATTTTTTAAAAAAATTATTCTAAGCTTGACAAATTCCAACATACGAGCGTTTGCATATGCAAAGAATAGGAAAAGAGATTATATATGAAACTACAAATTTTTCTATGTACTTTTAAGGGTTTAAGTATAAGTTCAAACCACTAATCCCAAAGCTATCTTGTTTGACTTTGTTTGCTTCTGAATACCCTTTTGTTCTCTTCTGTGCATTAAAAATAATACTTTCTTCACTTTTCTATACTTTTTCTATACTTCTGTTTCCTTTGCATAGATATTTTTGGTCCCCTTTCTTCCTCCAAAGTAAAATTTTAAACCCTCCCTTACAACAAATAAGCAGGGTGAAACAAAATAAATCTACATGTTGCCCATGTCCAAAAATGTATGTTTTATTCTGCATCTCTAATATAAAAAGTAAGAAGCATGTTTTATTCATGCTCTGGAATCACTGTTGGTCATTGATTAAAGTGCTTAAGTCTTTCAAAGTTCTTCACAATGTTGTAGTCATTACATAAATTGTTCTCTTTGTTCTGCTCACTTTATTCTGTGTCCATTAATACAAGTTTCCCCAAGTTTGTCTGAATTCATCCCTTTTGGATCCATCATCTCTCATGAAGCAATAATCAATTACATTCATATACTGTACGTTGTTCAGCTATTTTCCAACTGATTGGCACCCCTCTTTCCTTATTATCCAGTATAACAAAAAGTGCTCTTTTCAATATTTTTGTACATATCGATCCTTTTCCTCTTTTTTTTTTTAATCTCTTTGGTATATATTCCTCATGCTAGCATCTCTGGATCAGTATGCACAGTTTAGTGACTTTGGGGGTAGAGTTTCAAAACACCTATCACTCTATATTTCCTCAAACAATTAATATATTCCTTTTTAAAAAACACACTTCAGAACCTCAGAATTGTTTTAATTTGTACTTCTGTTACTGGATTAAAAGTGTTAGTCATTTGGAACACTTTAAAATTTGGGTATTGGTAGTTTGCTTTCCTGCTTTTAAGGACTATCTGTGCATATCCTTTGACCATTTATGTGTTAGAGAGTTACTCTTGTTCTCTTATTTTTAAATCAGCTCCTTATCTTGGATATTAGACTTTTATCAAAGAAATTTGCTGCAAAGATTTTCTCTGGTTAATTATTTCTCTCCTAGTGTTAGCTGCATTGATTTTGTTTGTGCAAAATCTTTTCAAATTTGTGTAGTCAAAATTATCTATTTTATCTCCTAGTCATGAACTGTTTTTTTATCCATAATTACAAAAGATATCTTCTTCCTTACTCTTCTAATTTATT